AAACATTGACAATATCCAAAGCGCAGCTCGTTTGACATTGGGGTATTTTTACATTGGCATGCTTTCCCATAACATAATGGTTCCTTAAAGCGCATTTTGGTTAGTCTTCCTCATAAAGATCGATCATTTTCAACTCAGTTGCAGCCTCATCTGAGAGACTGAGACAAGAGGGAATTTCAAACAAACCGTCTCAGATTTAAGGGAGTCGTCGAATCTGTAAGGTTTTATCTGCACTTCAGTTAGTTCACTCAAATGGTAAGCTGCGCTTGCCGCCGGACGTTGAATGATTACGACAGTCTACAGCCGTCGAGTGCAATAATGGCGTCTCACAACAAAGAATTTGATTGTGACGTGTTAATGGACGAATACATTTGTAAAGTGAATGGCGGCGTTCATGTACCTTCGATGTAAAAGAAGAATGCACGACGAGTCATAATATGTTTAATCGAAACATGAAGAACCGTAGTTTAAAGTAATTTTTTTCCTAAAATAACCGGGGCAAAAAGAGCCGCCTGAAACCGGAGCAAGAACCGCATGGTGCTCGCGAGCCGCGGGTTGGCCACTCCTGGACCAGATTAACTAAACTAAAAACTCGTTTCGCGGGTACACCATTCAAAATTGACGCTTCTCCGCGGGCTACACAATTTTTCTTTGCCGGCCACAGTTTGCACACTCCTGATTTAAACTAATACGATGCGGAAAAACATATTGTGATATTCACGAAACAATTTTTAGCATTGGGTTTTATGATGAATTCTGTCAACAGAGCATAAAAAGCGTAGCCTACTGTCTTGGGAAGATTACATCCTGTACAATTGGGATCTTAATTTGGAATTAAGCTATTCCACCATTATCCAGAGAGTTTTTCGCTCATTTTTCGTCCGCGGCGGCGAAGGCGTTACCATGGTGGCGATATTGGACTTAACTTGGTTTTATCAAGGCATAGATGTGGACAAAGTCCACTTCTGAGGTGCGAAAGTATGATACCAGCAGAATACTGTATATAGGCAACAAGCACGGCAAGAGAGACTTGTTAAAATCCAGCTATGTCGCGTTTTAAACACGAATAGGTAATTTACCAGAACCCAATCATATTGCAATTGCCGCAACAGACTGAGTCTCCTTTGATATGGTTAGCATAGCCAAGTCTTGCATTAAGATCCTACGAAAAATGATTATTGTCTATTATCATAAAACTGGAAACACGTAGGATTTTCATACCGATGTGACAGGTTTAGGGATTTAACTTTTAACTCCATGCAACGAATACGTATTGACTTTGTGGTATTTTCCTTTGACAAAACAAAACTTACAAACGCTCCGCTTTCTCGTAATTCCCTCGATGCTTCAGAAACATCATCATCAAATTTTCCTGAAGAGAATAAATAAACAACGTCCAGTACATTGATGCGATTACCAGATTCTTTGTTCATCATGTTGTTGACAAGGTACCGAATTGCCTTGCCAGTATTTGATCCTGAATATATACAACGGTATTCAAATTAGTATAACTTTGAGTTGGGTTGCGCGAGACTAACTCCCTATCTTTCCTCCTGTCTATGTCTTTGTATTAGTGGATCCCAGTGGCGGCGAGTCAATAGGGCCAACCGGGGCAATGCCCCGGTTGTTTTTTCGGTATAATAAAAAATATTCGAAAAATACCTCAATATCGGTTGCACAGACTGTCTACACTAGCCATATTCTCCCGACATGGTTCATTTTTCGCTCGCAAAGCCTTCGCCGAACGTCGACGGGGCGACGCCGATTTTGCCCCGGTTGCTCATTGTATATCGTATTCTCTCTTTTATCTTCCACTCGCCGCGTTTGTCTCGTTTGTTTTCTGTTTCTTTTACTAAATCATCGGGGCCGATCGGGGCTAGCCCCGAAATTATGACGACACAATGCCGACGTTTCTCACAACAACGTGTTGACATATTCACGCATTCCTTCTGGTTGCTTAAAGAGTTGATAGTTTCCTCGCCTTCGTTTTTGTCGCTTGTTTCGCTATTTGAATCAGTTAGAGACCTTTAGTCCATTTGCTTTCGATTTTCCACATTCCTTTTGAGCTCCTCACTTCTTTCCGGCTTCGCATTTCTTAGCCTTAGACCTCATAATGAATAAGGTTGATGCACTACTTCGCACTCCGTTTTCGCAGCTGCCGCTGGAACAAAAATTAGAGGTACAACGCCTTGGGCCTTATCAACCAAAAAATTGTTCACTGGAACAATCCCATGACGGAGGAAAGCGTAGGCGTACATTCTGCGCAGAAACTTGGTATAAAAAACACGAATGGTTGTGTTACAGCGAGGACAAAAATGCACTTTTTTGTTTTCATTGCCTACTTTTTGCTACCGCCCGTGACTCACGTTGGTGTAAATTTGGTTTTAGAGATCTTAAACATCTTTCCGAGCGTGCCAGGGAACATCAATCTTCTATGGAGCATCTGGACAATGCAGTAAAATACCGAACATTCGGAAATGTTAATATTGCAGCACAGTTGGATGAAGGACGCGCGGTTTCTATTCGTCGGCACAACCAAAACGTCGAGAAAAACCGCCATGTTCTCGGTCGATTGATAGATGTTTTGAAGTTCATTGGTTGTCACGAGCTGTCCCTCCGTGGGCACGATGAACGGGCTGGCTCTTCTAATAGAGGGGTATTTTTGGATATGGTGGAATACACCGCATCCCTAGATACAGTATTGAGAGATCATCTTGATGCCGCAACTGTTTCGAAAGGGACATCTAAGGTATCCAAAATGATTTGCTCGACTCAATGTATAAAATTTATTTACAACATTTGGCTCTGGAAATTGAGAATTGCCAGTTCCTTTCGATTCAGTCTGACGAGACAACTGACATCACGTGCGTTTCCCAACTGGCTGTGATTTTTCGGTTTGTGAAAGATGGTAAACCTACCGAGAGATTTCACAGCTTTGTACCAATCGTTGATCGCACGGCTTGCGGGATATCGGCTGCACTGAAAGAAGTGTTACAGCCTTACAACGCGAAGTCAAAATTGATAGCTCAAACTTATGACGGCGCGGCAGTCATGAGTGGGTCGAAACATGGTGTTCAAGTTTATATAAAAGAAGATTTTCCTCATGCGCATTTTCTTACATTGTTATGCACACCAATTTAACCTCGTTATTAAAAATATGTGTCTTGATACCCCTCTCGTCCGTATATTTTTTGCAAATGTTCCGGGGTTTTCTTCATTTTTTTCCGTTTCGCCGAAGCGCTCTGACCTCCTTCGCCAGATATGTAGCCGCCGTCTCCCAGCTTGTGCACCAACACGTTGGAACTTCCAATCACGCGTGTTGCAGGGCGTGTCCGAAATTAGGTCTGAGCTCATTGAGTGTTTCAATGGCATTCAGAGCTCTCCGGTTTGGGACGAACGCTCTGTGAGGGAGGCGGCAGGTCTAAAGCGTCTGCTAGAAGATGGTGAGTTTTCATTTTTTCTCGCTTTTTTCTCCACAATATTCTATCACATGGATGTATTATACGGCGCATTGCAGTCAAGGCTAATGGATGGAGCGTCTGTGCAGTCGTGTATTTCAGACTTCTGCGATGCTGTATCTCGTATCCGGGAAACAATAAAATACGACGACACATGGAGTGCTTCTTTACGCCGCGGGCAAACAACGCAGCGTTTGATTTTGTCTGCAAAGGAATGCTGTGACATTCTGGTGAATCAAATAGGCGATCGTCTGCGCACTGAAAACCTTGCCGCGTTCTCTTTGATGCACCCCAAAACATTTTCAAAATTTGCACGTCAATTTCCCATCCATTTGTTGGCTACTGTCTCCAAATTTTACCCCATGATAAACGTGGGTAAATTGGAAAATGAATTGCGATGTATATACACCAATCAAACTTTTTTGAACATCACATCAACTTGCGCGCTCTATGGGTTCCTCATAGATAACACTCTAGTAACTACCTTTGCGGCGTCTGCAAAATTTCTGGACATCATTTTGACGACGCCTATTTCTTCCGCCGACGCAGAGCGAACATTCAGCACGCTGAAGCGTAAAAAAACGTATCTCAGAAACACAATGAAGCAAGATAGATTAAATTCCTTGGCTGTTTTATCCATTCACAGAGACGTTATTTCTGGGATGCATGACTTTAATCAGCGCGTTATTGAGCATTTTGCTTCCAAGAAACCGCGGCGTGTTGCATATATGTTCAAGCAGTAGAAGTCTAGCAGCATATATATCTATGAGTGAGCGACGCATGTCCTTATCTTTGCATTAACTTTCCTTTCTTCATAGTAACGTTTTAAACCTTATTTTAGGTTTTGTCTGCTTTCCCGAAGTTTCTGTTAATATTTCATTGTAATTATCTGGGTAAATATTGCCTTTCCTTTTGAAAGAGGTTTCAAAATAAACTATGTCTATATTTATTAATCCCTTGACTTGGACCGGTTTTAAAGACACTTTCTTATCGTTAAAAATTGTCGCTTTTGCCGATTGGTTGTTACCGATGGAATGGTTTTTATACTCATAAAATGATGGGAGAACTTACAGCGCTCATCCTGTCCCCGTAGATGGGGGTGACTTGGTCCCGCAGTAGCTTGCCCCGGTTGTCAAAATGACCACGCGCCGCCACTGGTGGATCCATATGCTGTAGCTGGAATAAACATTACTATTCTAACCAATTAAAGAGTCACACTAACACAAATGTACTTCTGTAACGTTTCGTCCGACCAAAGTTAGACTTCCTCAAACAAGCAATTTATAACAACCAAATAATATAGTACTAATTGGAAATATATTGTGAGCAAATATATTTAGAAACATATTTTAAAATGAATTCAATTACTTCGTGATCCAGCTAAATAAGATATTGTTCATTTATAGGATTTTCGTATAGGCTAATATATGTTCCCGGAATTTGATTGCTGTATAAGTAAGAAAGAATGTAAGAAAAACATGTATTCACGGATATTGTATTTACTTACCATTATATGGTTAAATTACTAGCTACATAACAAAACTACATTATACCTTTTCCACCACGAGGCAGTCTATCAAATTTATACCAGAATTCAGATTTTTTATTCAAATAGTCATCCATATGAATAATATTGTCGATGTCCACATCCTTATTAAATCGCATTACAGAAATCTTCATTGATTCCGAAGATATGTCGTAACTCCTGAATTCGTTTGTAAAATATTATTATTATTTCCAAAAAAGTCTTCAATATTTATTTGTATAAAAACGATGTACGACACAAATGCTTCAACAAAAAGTGTTTCATAACGATTATCTTTGGAACTGATTATACCAGGGGTTCCCAAACTTTATTGGCCGCGGGCCAAAATTAGAATCGAAAGGGTGTTCGCGGGCCGGAAGAGTGTAGTGCCCGAAAGTGTGCAATGGTTTAGCTGGGGTTCTGTGGATTCACATTTGACATTTTTTTAAACATGTTTGTTTGATTCATAATGGCGCTTTATATCGTATTGTTTTATAACTTGAATAGTTCGTCGGCAAAGTGGACAAATCGCTGAAGTGTGATTCTTTTCAATACAGAAATACGAACGATGCCATTTATCGGAGTAACATCTGTTTTCAGAGTCTTGTATATTATTTGACATCTCTAACCTTTCTTAAACGGCTGATAACTAAATTACTGCCCTATGTAATCCTAATACGGTACGTATAATTGAGATACAGGCATAATCGAATTGTTACCATGAACACGAGCTTAAACTGTGATAATGACCTAACAATTGGCGGTTTCTAGATTGTAAAAAGGTAGAAACAAAATCTATTTCATTGTTTCACTTAGGCTCGGCGGGCCATTTTAAATCGTTACGCGGGCTGGAGTTGGCCCGCGGGCCGCGGTTTGCGAACCCCTGGATCATACTATATTGAATTTTTTTTGGTTTTTATTATGTATTGTTAAAATATACTATTTCGTATAGCTGTGACAATAATAAAATTTATAGAATATCATTTCGAATTGTATTTAGACCGAGTTAAATGTTCGTACCCCAACACATCCTTCATAAATTGCTTCATTTTAACCCAAGCATTCACTCCAATGTATTCAGAAGATTCCAAAACTATATAAATATCCGTAATTGAGAACAAATTGCAAGAACCTTGAAAAAGAGATGTTAGCACGTTGCTAATATATTAGAAGTTATTCCAGATTATAGTTCAATCTAAAAATCAATTCTATGAATAAGTGTTGTTAACGAAAACTTAAATATTGTCAATTGAAAATCATCGATTTTTTATATGGCGGAACAAGAACATAACCATAACCGGTTTGAATAATTTACACTTATCGTCAACCACAATTTTGCTACTGCATCACCGAAGGCCTCTTGTAGTAGAAGCAGTGTTTTATTGTAACTCTATGACAAAATTATTTAAAAACAACAGAGTCATGATTCTCCCAATTAACATTATATTTAATATAGGCTGATTTTTGAAAATACTTAAAATGTTCCTAATGCTTGGCTTCATTCTGATGGCTGATTCATTAAAACAAGAATTGTAGTATTAGTAGTAATTATATGTTTTACTTACGACCACAACATGGAATTTTCCCGCTCCATTGTTGGTTCGGTAAGCATCTGATTGTTCTAGTGGGGGATACCGTGTACCCTGGTTTTAAACATTTAAAATGACATACAGAAGTGACCTCATTTGTTTTTGAACAAGTCACAAATTTGCCCGGAACATGCATGTCGATCTCTGGTTTGCATCGATTGACTGTAAATTATATATTCAGTATTACAGTATAAGGTTGTTGATGCGAATTGGTTGTAAAATAAAAATATATGTTTATCATGGACATAAAAGTTTTTTAGATCACACGGATTGTATAACAAATATACTTACCTTTGCATAAAACCACAGTTGAATTCGACCATTTCAATCCAGATGACGTTTGTAAACATTTGATTTTACTTGATCCAACTAACGAATGATAAGGCGCACATACAAATGCACATTCAGAACCAACGATGTTGTCATTGCTACAATATATTTTTCCATTCTCTGGAGTTGAAATTGGATAACATCTTGTTTCTTGTTAGTGCGAAAAGATAAACAGAAATAAGTATTGCGATAACAATTATTAAACATAATTCCCGTCACTACCATGATCCTTTTAAAATACTTTACATCTCAGGTAACTTAAATTTGACTTTTCAAATTTATATGATTGATGCCGCTTTAATTATTATGTGATTATAAAAAAAAACTTTAAACTACTAATATATGATGTATCGAATTACCGTCGGCATTTTGTTCACATTTCGAAGCTTTTTGACATGCATGAATATACAAGCAAATGTAGAGGTATTTTTCCAACTGTTCTTGGAGCATTACTGCTGCAATATGAACAGCACTTTTTTTTAATTTTAAACCGTTATACTGTATATACGACACATTTCCAAGGAGCGAATTTCAGTATAACACTCTTGATAATGAAAGAATATCAACTCAATTCCAACTCCTCAAGACCTCTGATTACGTATGCAAACAAACAAGAATAAGTGGATCAGTTTAAAATTAACAGCAAAACTTAACGCATAATAAACGAATACTCAAACTACTAACTTTTAAACTTGCTTAACAACAACCGGAAACTGGATCAATACATATTCATGCCGAACTTCATACATCAGAATAACGATAGATTGTAGCTTGAATTCCATTACGGCATAAGACGGTATCCAGGCCGGATAGCGACTGTCAAAACAGCGATTGTCATAATGGCGACTTCATAATAGCAACGTAATCAAGAGAGCAACTGTCATAATGGCGACCGCATTAAAACAGCGACTGTTATGATAGCGACTTAACTTTTTGTACATGAATGACGAAACAAAGTTATGGGAGAAAGAGAGCGCGTAAGCCTTGGATTCAAAAAAGGAAGTGATGTCGCTGTTGTGGCAGTCGCTGTTTTGACAGTCGATCACTTGATTACGTCGCTATTATGAAGTCGCAATTATGACAGTCGCTGTTTTGACAGTCGCTATTTGGAACCCGAGCCCATAAGACGTGTCTTTGTTTTATTATTGATCTACTTGGTACGCATCATTTAAATATTACATATTATTGCAGCATGGGTATGCTTGCCACAATTTGATTGGTCATAGCGTATATATGTTCGATCTCATTTTATTATGTGAGAAACATAATATCATCATTGATCCTCAAATAGGAATTTAATCAAAAAAAGTTTTGTTTAACTCCCTTCACGTTCGAATCATAGAGTGAGACATCGATGCCACAAAATGATTATATAATAGACGGACGTGGGAAGTGTCTAGTCCAGTGATTCCCAAAGTGGGCGATATCGCCCCCCGATGGGCGAAAACGATACAGACGGGGGGCGAAAAAGTCGAAGGGGGCGATTTCGCGAAACCTGTTTTTGGTCGGCGCATCGTGCACTTGATTACTGTACTCTGCGTGCTTTCGTAGGTTTGAATCACGTGGGCGATGGCACACGCGAAAGGATTGCTGAAATGATCTTTGCAGTAATGAGGTACGGTAGTTTGCGTATTCATGTGGTCGGGAAATCTGTAGTAATCTGGCCCGGGACGCTTCACTGAATGGACCTTTTACCGACCTTTGACCCCGGTAAATTCTTCCCTTACTTTATTTACTGAAATTCATTTTTTCGGTGCTTATGAGTGGTTTCGCGAGTTGTTGCCTATAAAATGAAGTATTTGTTTCAAACTATCATTCTAATTCATACCATTCAACAATCTGTTTTTTAAAAGTACCGGTAAAGAATTTTAGCCTAGTCTATCACAGCTATTTGTACACTAATTTTTGATTACTGTAATTGAACTGAAACTGCTAGGATGAACATTGACTTATTCAACTAAAAACTAACGAATATAATTCATGATCGCGAAAATGAGGTAATGTTCACGACCACGCCTGAAAGTCTGTCTGAGTGGGGAATGTGCCTGAGGCTCTGAGCGGATGCGAAAGGGGGCGTTGGGGAAGCATCCACACGGCGGTTTTAACGATGAATTAATTTTATGTAAATTCCTTTTTTTTTTTACGTAACAGAATTTATCGTGAGACACGTTCAGACTAAATTTTATTATATCCTAAAAATTATATTGAGCAGCTACTCGTTTAACGAGCCTACAGTTCAATTATAATTAGACAAATGGAAACACGCAGAAATAAAATTCATATTCTATTCGAGAGATTCATCACTGCTTAATTTTTGTAAGAATGTATATCTTCTTAAAGAAAATCTTTATCAAAATTTCAGAAACCATGCGAAAATATTCACTTCGATGTTTGGAAGTACATATTTGTACGAACAATTATTTTTGAAAATGAACATTACAAAGAACAAGCAAAGAACTAAGATTAGTGATGCCGATTTAGAAAATCTTCCAATCTTGGTGTCGTAAAGCTATCAAGCGTGATGCAGCAACAAGACAGTGTCACATTAAATGTCATTGTAATTATTTTTTAATAAGACGACTGAGTCAAGTTCACGAATTGTAGCAGTTTTCGCACGATGTTCCGTTTTTAATTTTCAAAAAATATATGCGATCCGCAAAAGAATAGCAACTCCAAATTTTGTCTTGCGAGCGACGTAAAATTTGCGGACCCCTGGGCCATCCGAGTCCACGAATCGAAAACAAATGGCTGATTGATTCTATGGCCTGGTGATCGGACTGGAGGACGTGGTAGGTAGAGGAATCAGGGATGAATTTTACTGAAGACCGTTATATATCATGTATTTTGGTATAAGGTCATCAGCAATATTCCCTCTAATTTTTGTAGTATGTTTGCGCAGAAATTTTGGTGTGTGCGCACTTTTTTAAAAAAGGACTAATATTTGTGCAAAAACCAATGAAGAAATTCTGGCGTTCTAACCGGGTAATAAGTGGGCTTATTAAGAAAATTTTGGTTATTCAATAAGTTATTTTATAGATTGTAAATGCTTCAGTGAAGGCTATATGTTGTCAGTAGATAACAATGAACATACATGGAAAATATTATATGAAATTGATTGTAACAGATGGTTTTATTTGAATTCAAATAAAGGGTGAAAAAAGAACATTGTTACATTACATCGAAATACGTCTGTGCGCAGTAAATCTATGCGTGTGCGCAGCCTCTGAAAGTTGTGTGCGCGCTCACACGCGCACACCTTAGACGGAACACTGGTCATCAGGATGTAGGGATCAATGAGATGTACGAAAATCATTGTTATAAGTTTTGGAAATTTAATTTTTTTTCATTATTTCAATGTGAAATGGGATGAATTTAGGGAGATAAATGCTATAAGGCAAGAGTACACGGCGGTCTTTGAGAAGGTAGAACCCTGAGTTATTTCATTTCCGACCTCGGATATGGTGAAAGAGGGGTTTTCAGCCGTGCTGCTATTGCTATCAAAACAACTAAATCGCCTTTCCATCAGTAAACGGGGTAATTTTAGATATAATAAATAAACTCGATGAAGTACACCAAGCTCATCCATCTCATTAAAAAACACTATAAGTATAAACTATGATTTGTCTCCTTATTTGGTCTATAATAAATTCGTTTCAGACTTTCAATTTTTTTTGCAGTGCCGGGGGGCGATGAAGTTGTATAAACTACTATAGGGGGGCGATGGTACAAAAAGTTTGGGAACCACTGGTCTAGTCAGTGAACGATCATGGGGAACGGTCTTACTAAAGAATAGCTGAGGAAATTGTAATTTATGACAATAATGACATTTGTTATAGGTAGGGTTACTAGATTTTTGTGACTTCAAAGCGGGACGCCTCCAAAGACAACGACCCCTTTAGCTGTGATTTTGTAACTTTACATTTTCCAATTTTACTACAAAGGCCTACATTTAAAGCAATCCCGGCTTTCTTCATTGACCATATTGAAAAATAGAAAGGAATTGACGTTAACGATACAAAATAATTTGAATTTAGATTTTTCATGTACACCAAGAGGAAGGAGGAATAAAAAAATCATCTTTCAAGCACTGAGAATTTACTTATTTGCCTAATCATAATTTTTTGTAGACAACAGCTTCTTCAAAAAGACGTTGTTCAATATTACTCTCACGTAAAAGTCAGAGCAGGACCAATTAGTATTGATTTTACATGTGATAGATAGGTTCGCTAACAATGAAACAAACAAAATAACGCATGCAGTAAAGAGAACATGTTAATTGGTAATGTTCGTGTATTATGATGGATGGCTGGAAGCAAAAGTGGGACTTTTGGCTGACTTGTCAGGACGGCGGGACAAAACGTAAAAAGCGGGACTGTCCCGCCCAAAGCGAGACGTATGGTAAGCCTATTTATAGGCGAAGCCAGAGGGTCAGCCCCGACGCCCGAACCCGAACCTGAAAACTCCCTTATAACGCGTGCTATTATTTTCGCATGGCTAATTTTATTCTAGTCACCGATTGATTGAATCAACATGACGTTCTTAAATAAACCGGTGTTACCAATATTATATCGGTAAACTATATTTTTGAAAATATCAAAAATATCCCTTTGCGAACGAAAGTTTTGTGTCTCAGAGACGTCGATATTTGTTTTTTTCTTGTGCATCCCTGCCCTCGACATTCCGTTTCATGCTCCCAGCTACGCTATACTCCAGCTTATCTTGTTGACAAAAATCACAGCATTGAGACATTAATCTTTTGAAAATGAAATATACGGAGTAATCAATTTGAAGAGTCGGTGGTCAGATATTCAAGGTCACTTTAGGAGACCGCGGAGGCACTGTGACCAGCTATTGAAATCACAATAGCATTTGACCTTACCAAAAACAGCATTCAGATGAAAACGAACACATATACTGGGAATTCCGTAGTATGTGCATCAAAATGGAGGACACAGGAAAGTAGTATGTGTACCAGGTTAGGGTAAGGCCATATTTTTACTCCAATTTTCCTTGTTTTAGTTCCATTACGAGTTTGGGGAATAGCCAAATGACTCCCGTAGTATTTGTACCTGAAATTATGGCCTAACCCCAACCTGGTACACATACTACGGTCCGGTGTCCGCCATCTTGGTGCACATACTACGAAAGTACCATATACTGTAACAAAGTCAATCAGATGTAACTATTGTGTTTAATATAATATTCTGCCTATACCTGCCTAAGTTAAATCCACTGCATATTTCAACAAAAATTGAACTACAACGTCTTTTTCAATTTATATCTTCAAGTTTTCTAATTTTAATTGGATGATAAATAATATGTTAAAATAATAAATTTAATGTCCAAAAATCATGATTAATCATTAATGTAATAGATATTAATACTACCCCTAGCCCTGCAGATATTTTACGATGTGAAGTTAATAGTTTTGCTGATTTGAACCGTACGTTTTACCTTACTTACCCTGTGCCTACTCACTTGTTCTTGAGTCAACTCTGATTGCTTTTATGGCTGTTGTCTTTGTCTCATCAACGTTTGACAAACTGACATATCGTAACGATCGTGCAGTTACTCTTCATACGACTTCGTGCCACCCCTTTCACCTTAGGTGTTTGGGACTCGCCCCCCTCAGATTGAAAACCATTGTTTTATGAATATTTCATCCAAATTATTTAATCGATGTGCAGGCCAATAAATCGGCACTAGTGCTGCTCAACCATTGAATACTGGTTTTGCTTTCTCTGTCGTATTTGACTTTACAACTAGAGATGTACCAATACCACTTTTGCTGTCTATATGCCGATACCACCATTTTGAAAAAAAAAACGATATTGCTTATACTACGTAATTATTACTTTAGGTATGCTGGACAAACGGGCAAAAACAATAGTCTGTGACCATTGTTCATAGCGCACAATATTTCAGCCCGAAAAAAAGATATTTCAGATAATAAAAAATTGATGTTTGTAATCCAGATGCATTAATTGAATTAAATGCATTGCGCACTGAAGTTCGTAAACTAGGTGTTCAATTAGGAAACTCATAGGGTTTTGCTATGATATTTGGTAAAGTAAATAAATTCTGACGGCCGATTCATTAGAACAAGAATTATACATTATGCATTACTTACGACCACAACATGGAATTTTCCCGCTCCATTGTTGGTTCGGTAAGCATCTGATTGTCCTAGTGGTAAATACCATGTACCATGGTTTTAAACATTTAAAATGACATACAGAAGTGACCTCATTTGTTTTTGAACAAGTCACAAATTTGCCCGGGACATGCATGTCAATCTCTGGTTTGCAACGATTGACTGTAAATCATATATTCAGTATTACAGTATAAGATTGTTGGTGCGAATTGGATGTAAAAAGAAAGATATGTTTATCATACACATAAAAGTGTTTTAGATCACACGGATTGTATAACAAATATACTCACGTTTGCATAAAACCACAGTTGAATTCGACCATTTCAATCCAGATGACGTTTGTAAACATTTAATTTTACTCGATCCAACTAACGTAAGATAAAGCTTACATGCAAATGCACATTTAGAACCAACGATGTTGCCATTACTACCATATATTTTTCCTTCTCAAGAGTTGAAATTAGACCACATCCTGTTTCGTGTTAGCGAGAAAAGATAAAACAGAAAAATCATTGCGCTTACAATTATTACACATAAATTATTCCTGTAACTACCATTCCAGGAGATCCAGAAGTATGTGCACCAAGATGGCGCACGTCCTGAACATAGTATGTGTACCAGGTCAGGTTTCAGGTTGTGCGCCATCTTGGTGCACATACTTCTCGAGCGCCCCATTTCAGTTATCTAAACTATTTTTCATTTCAGATAAGATTAGACTCCTCAAGATTATTTGATTAATGTTACTTTCATTTTTTTTATTGATAATAAAAGAGAACTTACAACTAATATAATATGATGTATCAAATTACCTTCGGCATTTTGTTCACATTTTAGCTTCGTAACATGCATGGATATACAAGCAAATGAAAAGGTATTTTTTCAACTGTTCTTGTAGCATCACTGCTGCAGTATGACCTTATTTTTTTCAATTATATTCCGTTATACGATATATGTATATGAAGTAAATTTTGGTATAACCTTCTGGCAGTTATAAACTTTCAATTCTCCAATACGTCATTTGCGTACAACAAACATCTTAGAAAAACTTTTACATTGCAGATTGATCAATTTTTGTACAAAATTCAACCTGATCAATAAACGTCAATTTGGATTTCAAACCAATAATTCCACCAGTCATGCTATTTTAGATCTAACATCATTTATTTATGATAAAATTGACAAAGGCGAATTTGTCTGCTGTATTTTTCTCGATTTAAAAAAAGCCTTTGACACTGTCAACCATAGTATTCTTTCCCAAAAACTGAGACACTATGGCTTTCGAGGTGCTACAGGCAAACTATTAAGCAATTACCTTTCGGGTCGATTCCAATATGTGGAGGTGGATTCTCAGCAGTCTCCGATGTTGCCCATTCATCACGGAATTCCTCAAGGTAGTGTGTTAGGTCCTCTTGGTTTCTTAATTTACATAAATGATCTGTCTAACTGCTCCAATTTCTTGAGCAAATTGTTTGCTGATGATGCTTGCCTGCTCTACAGTGCAAAAGATCCGAGTATTCTCCAAGACAAGGTGAACACTGAAATGAATAAAGTATATGATTGGATGACTTCCAATAAACTTACTGTGAATATACAAAAATCCAAAGTCATGTTATTCGGCCACAAATCTCTAGCCAGACATGCGAACATCTCAATCAAAATTACAGGTATCCCTCTTGAAATTGTTCACTCTTATAAATACCTTGGCCTCACTATTGACAATCAATTAAAATGGAACTTTCATACCAATGAATTGCATAAGAAATTGTCAAGATCAGTCGGGATCCTAGGGAAGTTAAGGCATTATGTAAACGACTCGACTCTGCGAACAGTATATTTGGCTCTTTTTCAATGTCATATCCAATATGCCTTAGCTGCATGGGGTTCCGCTACCAAAACAAACTTGAATAAATTAGAGATTTTACAAAATAGGGCTGTTAGAATTCTCTGTAGGGCATCTATTCGTTCTAACCTGAATATCCTATACCACAAGACCAGGGTTCTAAAATTGTCCCACATCTATAAACTAGAGATTTCTAAACTTATGCACCAATTTAACAACAACCAATTGCTCCCAGCTTTTGCTGACTATTTCGTCATGCTTAGTAACGTGCATGAGCATAATACACGCTCATCGACTAAATCCAATTTATTTGTCCCTCGATTTTCATCAAGCAAATGCCAAAACTCCTTGACATACAGGGGAGTTGTAATTTGGAATAGCATAGGTCAAAGCCTTCGTCATTCATCTTATGACACCTTTAAATTTAAATACAAAAAATTCATGCTTTCCCTTTACCATTCTGCTGCCTTTTCATCCGATTAAAGTGGATCCAGAACTTTCTTCGCCATTGCCAGCTCCACTGTCGACTTGATCCAGTGATCCAGAGTACCTGAAATATATAATTTTGGAATTTATCGTGTAATCAAACAAATATTTTTACCTATGTATGTTACATGGACCCAGCCTTACAAAAAGTATTTACTGTATTTTTAATTTCACCCAATATATCAAAGGGCGAGCTTTTGCTAAAATATTGACCTAAATCAAAAATTTTAGGTATCATTCTCTTATTAAATGACAATTGTCCTGCTATATGCATTTACAATCAGTCATGCTTCCAATGCAAAGCTCATATTGTCTTTTCTGACCATGACCTCTTTATTACCTATTTACTACTATGAATTGTTTCTTTTTACATATTTGATTCATCTCTGATTGACCCACTGTGTGAATGAGAGGATATCATGTAAGAAGAAACCATGCATAGGTCATGCACTGTGATGTCATGTAATATAGTCAGTTATATATTGGTAATATTTGAGCCTGATCTAAGTTACTAAGATCTTGGTCACTGGCACCCTTAATCACATCATTTTAATGTTAAACCATATTCGATTGTAAATTTTTTTTTTTTTATCTTTGTACATTTGGCATCGTTATGTCATAAACTGACTGACATTAGATTTTTATCAATCTACCTACCTTTGCTTTTTCCATGTTCTGTATGAAGTGGTTAGTACCACATGAAATTTAATCCTACCTTGATCTTGTAGATTACCATTTATTCATTGATCATGTGCCTTCCAGTTACACACTGAAGTTCAATTTTCTTACCATAAAAGGTTAAATTATTTATGACTACCGGTACTACAGTTGCATGCATACCATACTACTGGTAGGCTTCCTGTTCGTGAAACTTCATTTTTACCATTGATACCTAAACAACTGTAGCCCTGCCCCATACAATGTTCTACATACGACCACAGTCACTTCACAATGGTACCATTGTTACTTTGCAGCTATCGTCATGGCTACTTAGATAATTGGTGCACGGAGTCGTTTCTTGTTTTGTTGTTGTTGAAACGCGAGATTACTGGGCATACCTGGTTGGAATGCCTTGACGTATTTATATTTATTTTCAAATTAACGTATATATGATACTGTATATACACAGTTCGACTTTTTTTTTGTTATTATTTCCTTGTTAGACTTGCTTATGGGTAACCAAATTTGGTTTCTCGCGGCTCCCCTCACCCTGAAATGCCTTTTTATTTATTTATTGCAATTTGTATATCAAGTGTGCATTTAGTATGGTGAGAAAATAAACTACTGATTACTGAAACGCATGAGAATAAAAGTAAGTAGAATAACAAGCGAAATAGATTTTCAGTTTCAATCAAATCAACAGCAGAACGTGACGTATAAATAATACTCGAAATGCTATATTTTTTCAACTTGCTTATCCTAGCTTCCCATTTAACTTAAAAACGAAAGTCGCATTCTTGAAATTTCCGACTAACTCCTGTGTACTCATGCATAGCGTGAACGATAACTGGAGACCCGATCAATGCATACTTATACCGAACTTCATACATAAAAGTAAAAATGGATTGTAGCTAGAATGGCATTGCGACACGCGCTGGTCTTCTTAATATTGATCTAATTGGTACAAATCATTTGAATAATTGCAGCGGTAAAATATTTCATTTTGTACTCGTGCTCATATATTTAAGCATTGCTCTCATATCCATCAATTGGCCGCTGTTGGTTTCATAGTTTTCATAGATAGATAGATATGACGTTCAGATGTAATGCTTATTGTCAGTGGCGGCGCGTCAATGGGGCCAACCGGGGCAATGCCCAGGTTGTTTTTTCGGTATAATAAAAAATATTCGAAAAATACCTCAATATCGGTTGCACAGACTGTCTACACTAGCCATATTCTCCCGACATGGTTCATTTTTCGCTCGCAAAGCCTTCGCCGAACGTCGACGGGGCGACGCCGATTTTGCCCCGGTTGCTCATTGTATATCGTATTCTCTCTTTTATCTTCCACTCGCCGCGTTTGTCTCGTTTGTTTTCTGTTTCTTTTACTAAATCATCGGGGCCGATCGGGGCTAGCCCCGAAATTATGACGACACAATGCCGACGTTTCTTACAACAACGTGTTGACATAATCACGCATTCCTTCTCGTTCGTTGGTTGCTTGAAGAGTTGATAGTTTCCTCGCCTTCGTTTTTGTCGCTTGTTTCGCTATTTGAATCAGTTAGAGACCTTTAGTCCATTTGCTGTCGATTTTCCACATTCCTTTTGAGCTCCTCACTTCTTTCCGGCTTCGCATTTCTTAGCCTTAGACCTCATAATGAATAAGGTTGATGCACTACTTCGCACTCCGTTTTCGCAGCTGCCGCTGGAACAAAAATTAGAGGTACAACGTCTTGGGCCTTATCAACCAAAAAATTGTTCACTGGAACAATCCCATGACGGAGGAAAGCGTCGGCGTACATTCTGCGCAGAAACTTGGTATAAAAAACACGAATGGTTGTGTTACAGCGAGGACAAAAATGCACTTTTTTGTTTTTATTGCCTACTTTTTGCTACCGCCCGTGACTCACGTTGGTGTAAATTTGGTTTTAGAGATCTTAAACATCTTTCCGAGCGTGCCAGGGATCATCAATCTTCTATGGAGCATCTGGACAATGCAGTAAAATACCGAACATTCGGAAATGTTAATATTGCAGCACAGTTGGATGAAGGACGCGCGTTTCTATTCGTCGGCACAACCAAAACGTCGAGAAAAACCGCCATGTTCTCGGTCGATTGATAGATGTTTTGAAGTTCATTGGTTGTCACGAGCTGTCCCTCCGTGGGCACGATGAACGGGCTGGCTCTTCTAATAGAGGGGTATTTTTGGATATGGTGGAATACACCGCATCCCTAGATACAGTATTGAGAGATCATCTTGATGTCGCAACTGTTTCGAAAGGGACATCTAAGGATATCCAAAATGATTTGCTCGACTCAATGTATAAAATTTATTTACAACATTTGGCTCTGGAAATTGAAAATTGCCAGTTCCTTTCGATTCAGTCTGACGAGACAACTGACATCACGTGCGTTTCCCAACTGGCTGTGATTTTTCGGTTTGTGAAAGATGGTAAACCTACCGAGAGATTTCACAGCTTTGTACCAATCGTTGATCGCACGGCTTGCGGGATATCGGCTGTACTGAAAGAAGTGTAACAGCCTTACAACGCGAAGTCAAAATTGATAGCTCAAACTTATGACGGCGCGGCAGTCATGAGTGGGTCGAAACATGGTGTTCAAGTTTATATAAAAGAAGATTTTCCTCATGCGCATTTTTTACATTGTTATGCACACCAATTTAACCTCGTTTTTAAAAATATGTGTCTTGATACCCCTCTCGTCCGTATATATTTTGCAAATGTTTCGGGGTTTTCTTCATTTTTTCCCGTTTCGCCGAAGCGCTCTGACCTCCTTCGCCAGATATGTAGCCGCCGTCTCCCAGCTTGTGCACCAACACGTTGGAACTTCCAATCACGCGTGGTGCAGGGCGTGTCCGAAATTAGGTCTGAGCTCATTGAGTGTTTCAATGGCATTTAGAGCTCTCCAGTTTGGGACGAACGCTCTGTGAGGGAGGCGGCAGGTCTAAAGCGTCTGCTAGAAGATGGTGAGTTTTCATTTTTTCTCGCTTTTTTCTCCACAATATTCTATCACGTGGATGTATTATACGGCGCATTGCAGTCACAGCTAATGGATGGAGCGTCTGTGCAGTCGTGTATTTCAGACTTCTGCGATGCTGTATCTCGTATCAGGGAAACAATAAAATACGACGACACATGGAGTGCTTCTTTACGCCGCGGGCAAACAACGCAGCGTTTGATTTTGTCTGCAAAGGAATGCTGTGAAATTCTGGTGAATCAAATAGGCAATCGTCTGCGCACTGAACACCTTGCCGCGTTCTCTTTGATGAACCCCAAAAATTTTTCAAAATTTGCACGTCAATTTCCCATCCATTTGTTGGCTACTGTCTTCAAATTTTACCCCATCATAAACGTGGGTAAATTGGAAAATGAATTGCGATGTATATACACCAATCAAACTTTTTTGAACATCACATCAACTTGCGCGCGCTATGGGTTCCTCATAGATAACACTCTAGTAACTACCTTTGCGGCGTCTGCAAAATTTCTGGACATCATTTTGACGACGCCTATTTCTTCCGCCGATGCAGAGCGAACATTCAGCACGCTGAAGCGTTTTAAAACGTATCTCAGAAACACAATGAAGCAAGATAGATTAAATTCCTTGGCTGTTTTATCCATTCACAGAGACGTTATTTCTGGGATGCATGACTTTAATCAGCGCGTTATTGAGCATTTTGCTTCCAAGAAACCGCGGCGTGTTGCATATATGTTCATGCAGTAGAAGTCTAGCAGCATATATATCTATGAGTGAGCGACGCATGTCCTTATCTTTGCATAACTTTCCTTTCTTCATAGTAACGTTTTAAACCTTATTTTAGGTTTTGTCTGCTTTCCCGAAGTTTCTGTTAATATGTCATTGTATTTATCTGGGTAAATATTGCCTTTCCTTTTGAAAGAGGTTTCAAAATAAACTATGTCTATATTTATTAATCCCTTGACTTGGACCGGTTTTAAAGACACTTTCTTATCGTTAAAAATTGTCGCTTTTGCCGATTGGTTGTTACCGATGGAATGGTTTTTATACTCATAAAATGATGGGAGAACTTACAGCGCTCATCCTGTCCCCGTAGATGGGGGTGACTTGGTCCCGCAGTAGCTTGCCCCGGTTGTCAAAATGACCACGCGCCGCCACTGCTTATTGTTATTTATTTATATTCCAATCGAACTACATGTTACTGAAGTCGCAGTGACAAATCAAATTTTGCTCCTGCTGAACCTGCAATTGCTGCACGTGTGGCCAGGGGTTGCCGACCCATGCTAAATATATATATGTTGTAAAACTGTTTCTTTAATGCTATTCCGATCTCTCGATGTAAATCCCTCTCTTATAAATAAAGCTGTGTTTGTACACAAGGTAAATCAATCCAATTAACAAAATTTATATCAAAACCAAAAACTGAATTGTCTCCATTTCTCTGAAAGTCTCTAATAACACACTACTTTTTGAATGCCGCAAAAAATCGCTATGTAATCGCTCAAACAACCACATTTTTTAAGAACGATATCCTCGTCAGACTTTAAACTTGAATATAGTTGTATTTGGATATCCAGGAAGTGCCGTATGTACCAGTGAAAATGGTCAGTCAAATACATAAAACAGTTGATTTATCGAATAATATTGGAGATAAATTTTGTAGTATCAATAATTAGTATCCAATTATTGATAATAAATCAATTCATTTAACTCAATATGAATCTGCTGCGCCTATATAATTGTATAAATGATGCAAAACTGACACGACTATGAAAAAGAAATATTGCTAAAGAATTTTCCAGAACACAATGTAGTGTCCATAATTAAAATAGGTGAACATTTTTACACCATGACGTTAGACGCCATCGCCTCCTCACGACGGTCCTAATATATTTTAATGTAAGCTGTAGCCACTAGCCAGTCCTTTGTCATATCCACCACAGGTCTGTTTCATGTCGGTCAACGATATCACTCATTTTCCACTAGTTCATATATTTCTTTTCATTTTTGAATACATGGTAATACTAACCGGGAATAAGGAAATTACTGGTATCAATATATATATATATATATATATGACAAAAACTTTCTACATAGCAGCAACACCAATATATACATAGAAGTATTTGTAATTATGCTTCAAATAGTATTCAATCTGACCCTAGCAACCTCGTCCGCAAATTCCCGGCCAAGGATAATAATAAGGATATTCAATAGCATCTTCACTGTCTAACAAATCCAAATGGTA